GGTAATAGAAACACGGTTGGTAGCACAGGTCGCACCGTTAACTAGACTACGACGGCATAGCTGCGTGTCCGAGTGCGCGCCCCGCTTGCGCCCCCTTTGCCGCCCTGCTTTCCTCTGCGCCTGGCGTGCGCCTGGCCTGGGTCGCGCCCGCGGCCGACCGCCACACCAGACACCCGGGCGCCGCCCGCGGCCGGCGCCGCCAGCGGCCGTCGGCGTCTGCGCCCCTGTCGAGTGCCATTGGTTGAAGGCGGCCCCCCCCCGGGCGGGGCCGTCGGGGGCTGCCCCCCGCTTCTCCGAGGAGGAGGCGGGCGGACCCGGGACGGGACCGCTCGAGGAGCTGCACGCGCCCAGTCGGTGGCACGAGCGGATCGGGCGTTGCGTCATGGGGGGGGGCGGCTCGGCTGGTTCGGCTGCGTGGCAGTCGGTTGCGTTCGGTCCGTTCGGTTCGGTTGGTTATTTTGCCGTTGCCGCGTCGCTGCGCCCTGCTAGGCTGCTCGCGGCATGTCGATTTAGGTAGGATTCTGCTTCGCTGTCGGTTCGTTTGTTTTTCGGTTTTGTTGTCGCCGTGCGCGGCCCTGAGTACAGGCGTACAGGTCCTGTGCCTCGATCGAAGAGTCCCAAATCAATCGTTACCAATCGATCGTTGGGGACGGGGGCTGCCGCACCATTTTGCCACCGGCCCTTACGCACCCTGCTTCCACCGCCTCTGGGGCTGAATCGACTTGCACGTGTGCAGATCTGCCGCCGCCGCCGTCTCTCCGCCTCTTGGGGCGTCTTGGGAGTTTGCCCATCTTGAGGCTATGTGTGGGCCATCATGAGCCTCTCGGGGCTAGGTGGGGCTGTTCTGGAGTACCTTGGGTCCTACGCCCTTCCTGGGCCTTGTGGGGGCCCGTAGTGGGATCGTCGTTCGAAGTCATATTATGCGGGGAACAGGTCAGGTCGGCGGCTGGGGCGGGACCCCCAGGGGGGGTCAGCGGGTTCGTTCTGCTGCTAAAATACATGTGACGTCGAAGTCTGCGACGCATCGTGACTTGGTTTTTGGGGCGTATCTTGACATGGCCCTTGCGCCTCACACCCCTCTTTCGGAATGCGAGTTGGCCCAAACATGGATCTAAGCCAACCGTTTTTGTTCGATGGTCAGAACAGGGTTCTGCCCATCTCTTCCTCGTCACATCATCTCCCGTACCCGCCCTACTAGTGCTGCGTTTTGGAGCGCGTTTGGTGTTTGTTTGTGGTTTTCTTTTGGAGCTCGAGGTTATGTTTATGATTTTCGGAAGTTTCCTGGGCGCGTCTGAGGACAGGGGAGCCCGAGGAGGGGAGTATACTCGGGGATCCCATGAGCCGTTTATTTTCTTCGTGTGGGGGGCCAGCTCGGGGCTGTGTAGGATGGCGATCGGGCGTCACTGCTGCCAAATGTCCTCGTTTTGGTACTTCGCCCGCGCCTGTTATGTCACAGAAGGGTATCCAGATTCCAGCATGTTTCTAGCATTTGTGCTGCGTTCTCACAACACTTGTCTGCAACATCTTACGGTTGCGGGGACGGCTTGGTGTGCTTGCGATATGCCTATCTTGTTGTCACGACCTAGTTATCCAAGTTTTCCCCCTTCCCCTTCGAAGGGATTAGCAGTTGCTCTCTGGGCCGACCGATCGGAATCCCTCTCCCAGCAAGTTCTGCTCCATCTGTTTTCTCAGTTGGATTGACGGCGACTGGCTTGTTTATTTATCCGAGTCCTGGGGAAAATTGTGGGTATTGTTTGTTTGTTTTTTTCGGCATCGTTGTCGAATTCCGATGCTTTCTCCTATGCATGGGCAGTTGCTCTCTGGGCTCCTGGGTCAGAATTTCTCTCCTGGCTGGTTCTGGTTAGTTTCTTTGTGTATCGGATGAACTGACGGTGACTGGTTTGATACCCCGGTCCGCGTCCTGATTGCTGTGGATGATATTGGCTCCTTTGTCTTAACACCGTTGTCGGGGCCCTCATTCTTCATTCTCCTATGAATGGACGGTTGCTCTCTGGGCTGATGGGTCAGAAATCCTCTCCCAGCAGGCTCTGGTCTGTCTCTTGTTTTTTCTTTCTTGGGATGGCGGATTGAGCCCTTCGGTCCATCAGTGTAGTTGTGGGATGTTCAGATTGCGTTATGTGAATTTCGTTGTCGATGTCCGTGTCCTCCTCCTCCTCCTCCTCCTCCTCCTCCTCCTCCTCCTCCTACGAGTGAGCATTTGCTCTCCTGGTTGGAAAGAGCGTGTTCTACCGCTGCTGGCGGAAAACCAGAGGGGGTCACAGGGGGTTCCCAACCCGTCCCCTCCCCCCCTCGAAAACAGGGGGGGTCACTACCAGTTCGAACCCCCCCTCCCCCCCCCCAGTCCATCATGAAAAGGGTGGGATCACTACCGGTTCGAACCCCCTCCCTCGCCGCCGGCAAACGACTCCCGCTCCTCGGGACAGTTGGACAGTGGTGGGGATATTGAGACAGTGGTGGGGACGGTGGTGGTGGTGGGGACAGTGGTGTGGGGACTGGGACAATGGTGCGGACAGTGGGACAGTCGTGGGAACGGTAGTGGTGGGGACAGTGGTGGGGGGACTGGGACAGTGGTGGGGACAATGGGGACAGGGACAGTGGTGGGGACGGTAGTGGTGGGGACAGTGGTGACGGCGGTGGTTAGGACGGTGGTGGGACAGTAGTGCAGTGGGGACAGTGGTGGGGACAGTGGGACAGTGGTGGGGACAGTGGGGACTAGTGGGACAGCACAGTCGGACAGCGGCGGGGACAGTGGGGACAGTGGGACAGTGGTGGGAACAGTGGGGACAGTGGGACAGTGGTGGGGACAGTGAGGACAATCGGGAGAGTGGGACCGTGATGGGACAATGGTAGGGACAGTGGGGACAGTAAGACACTGGTGGGGGCACTGGTGGGGACAGCGGGGACAGTGGTGGGAAAGTGGGGAGAGTGGGACCGTGGTGGGGACTGTGGGACAGTGGTGGGGACGGTGGTGGTGGGGACAGTGGTGTGGGGACACTGGGACAGTGGTGGGGACAGTGGGGACAGTGGGACAGTGGTGAGGGCGGTGGCGAGGACGGTGGTGGGACAATGAGACAGAGGTACAGTGGGGACAGTGGTGGGGACAGTGGGGACAGTGGTGGGAACAGTGGGACAGCGCAGTGGGACAGCGGCGGGGACAGTGGGACAGTGGGCCAGTGGGGACAGTGGGACAGTGGGACAGTGGTGAGGACTGTGGGGAAAGTGGGGAGAGTGGGACCGTGGCGAGAACAGTGGTGGGGACATTGGGGACAGTGCGACAGTGGTGGGGGCACTGGTGGGGACACTGGGGACGGTGGTGGGAACAGTGGGGACAGTGGTGGTGGGGACAGTGGTGCTGGGGACAGTGGTGCTGGGGACAGCGGTGGGTGATGTGGTGCGGATGGTGGTGGGGACCGGGGAGTCGTTTGCCGGCGGTGAGTGGGGGGGGCGGGGTTCGAACCGGTAGTGATCCCCACCGATTTTCTGGAGGGGGGGGGGTTCGAACTGGTAGTGACCCCCCCTGGTTTTCCGGAGCGGGGGGGTGTTTCGAACCAGTAGTGACCCATCCCGGTTTTCCGGGGGGGGGGGGTCGAGCCGGTAGTGACACCCCCCAGTTTTCCGGAGGGGGGGGGTTAAGGGGGGGGCGAGCGATTCGTTCCCCGGTTGAACGACTCGTTCCCCGGTTGTTCGATTTGTTCCCTGGCGGAAGTAACACCAATTTGAAAGAATTCGTTCCTCTGCGGAGTTCATGAGTAAAACCGTTTTGTTAAGATGTCGTAGCGACCATAAACATGAAATCAATATTTACGCGTAGCGCCCAAAGGTGTTGCGCACGATGGGCCCATCGCGAGGAGGAGGAGGAAGATGAGGAGGAGATGGGGGCGGACAAAAAGAAGATGAGAGGAAAGAGAGGCGTGAGGAGGAGGTGGAGGAGGAAGAGGAAGAAGAAGAAGAAGAAGAAGAAGAGGAAAGAGGATCGAGGAGGAGGAGGAGGAGGACGGGGAGGAGGAGGAGGAGGAGGAGGAGGAGGAGGATGAGGAGGAGGAGGAGGAGGAGGAACGGGAACAAAAGGGGGGGAGAGGAAAGATTATCGAGGACGAGGAGGAGGGGGAACACGTTGAAGACAAGGAACAAGAGGAACAGGAGGTGGAGGGGCTGAAGGAGGAACAGCCGGAGAACTCGGGAGGGGGAGGAGGAGCTGGAAGAGGAGGGAGACGGCGAAGACGAGGAGGAAAACACGAGGAGGAGGGGGAGGAGGTGGAGGAGGAGGAGAAGGTGGAGGAGCTTTCAGGGCTTTCCGCCTCTCGCAGGTGCGAGTCTGGCCCCGCGCACCCGCGCGCGGGGCTCCGCTCAAGGGCCGCGGGCCTGGGCCCCGCCCTTTCTCCGAGCGCGTCTGGCGGAGGCGCTCGGAGCCGTCGTCAAGGGCCGCGCCCTGAGGCCGCCCTTTCTCCGCACGCATCTTGCGGAGGCGTGCGGAGCCGTGGCATGCCGACTTGGCGAGCTGCGGCCTCAGCAGGTGGGAGCGGGCCCTCGCGCGTGGGCGCGCGGGCCCTCGGGGTCGGCCTCCCTCTCGCCGTCGGGCTTGCCGTAGTGGTCCGCGTCGTCGTAGTGCCCGTGCCCTCTTCGAGGGCACCCCCGACGTGGGGTGCCCGAGGGTGGGCCTCCTCGACCCGCTCCATCTTCAGGTGCATGGTGCGATAGGTGAGCAGGCCGAGGGTCTTCGCCAGTGTGGAGGAGTGGTGCCACGTCCTCCTCGATGGCGTGAGTTCTTCGTAACTGCTTCTTGTTGACCTGCTGCAGGAGGGTGTACGTGTCGGGGAGCTGAGGTCTGCTTCTCCTTCTGCTGGTTGTACTCGCTGCCGCCACTCGTGTTCTGCGTCTGGCCGTAGGACTGGTACTCTGAGTCGCACATGTGCCCAACCCCGAGGAGCGGGCCAGTTGGGCATTCGTACCTTGTCCAGGGCCGCGCCCTGAGGCCGCCCTTACTCCGCGCGCGTCTTGCGGAGGCGCGCGGAGCCGTGGTTCACCTTCTGGTCGTGCTTCTGCTTCCACTGGAGGGGGCGGGCCCGCGCGTGTCGGCGCGTGGGCCCTCGGGGTCGGACCTGCTCTCGTCGTCGGGCTAGCCGAACGGGTTCGCGTCGTAGCTCCCGAGCTCTCCGCAAAGGTCTTCCCTGATGTGTGGGTGCCCGCGGGTGATACTCCTCTGTTTGCTCCAACTTCAGGTTCTGGAGGGTAAGCAGGCCGCGGGTCTTCATCTGCTCGGAGGAGCGGCGCTTCATCCTCCTCGATGGCGCGGGTACCTCGTATCTGCATCATGATGGCCTGCTGCAGGGGCGCTCTCGTGTCGGGGAATTGAGTGCGGCTTCTCCTTCTTCTGGTTATTGTCTCCGCTGCCTCTCGTGAACTGTGACTGGTCGTTGCGTTCTGGCTCCCCAGGTTGTCGATACCCTCTACCCTCGATGGCCTTTGGGCTGTGGGCGAGCAGTGCGTGCCACCTGGGGCAGATCCAGCGGCATGGCGACGGGTGGGCATCTGAGATGCCGCGTTCTGACTCCCCAGGTGGTCGGCACCCTCAACCCTCAACGGCCTTTCGGCTGCGGGCGAGCAGTGCGTGCCACCTGGGGCAGATCCAGCATCGTGGCGACGTTTGTGCGTCTGCGATGCTGGACTGGTACTCTGCGTCGCACATGTGCCCAACCCCGAGGAGCGGGCCAGTTGGGCATGCTCGATATCTGTATCTCGCTCATCCACAGCCTCCTCTGTCTTCTCCTCCGCTGCCTTCTTGAGCCAGTTTGCTGAAGGTAACAACTGCCACGGCCAGGTAATGTCCCGCTCACATTGGTTGAGGAGGCTGATCAGGGTCTGCTTCCCTGCGGTGGGTAGTCTTTTCAGGTCCGTCGTGCAAATCATGTCCACTCCCTTTCCCTTGTCGGGTTCGCCTTTCGAGCACCTGATCAGGTCCTCGATGGTCCAGGGGTCGTGTTCATCGTCTTCTCGCGCATCTCGTCTGAGTTCATTCAAATAACCTTCGTGTGATGTATGTGGTGCATCTTCGCATTCCCATAACTTTTGAACATCAACAACATTCTGGTCGATCATATCCTTCGGGCTGCGTATGGTGCCGTATTCAGTATGTATCTCATGCTCATGTCGGGGTGGCGGCTTATTGATCCGATGCAGTACTCCGATGGTATTCTCTGCTTGCGCCAACCATAGACTGTACTGCTTGCTGTTGTCCCGCATGTCTTGCTTGTGTGGTATCGTTCCCAGCGCTGCCATCCTATCTGCCCATATCTGCTGGTGGTGCATGTCGGTGTGCGAGGCTCCCTTCTCAACTGGTGGCAGTCCTTCCCGAATGAGGCGTCGTCCTGCGCTGGCGAGTGCTTCCTGCTGTTGAAGGCCTCGTCCGCGTTCTTGTAGTTTGACCAGGGTGCTCTGCACTGTGTCGGCCCTGTTCCACCAGTCTGTTCCACCAGTCAGCGGCACTGTCTTGTAATCGTATGGGTGCCCACGCCCGCAAAATACTGCCCTGCCTGCCAAATCCACTTTGTAAGCCATGCAATAGAATTTCTCCAGCGTGCCGATGAGCTGGTGGTGTTGTCGCCCTAGTCGTTCAGCACCGTTCAGGTCGGTCTTGTATGCTGCACTCTGCTTTATGTACTCGGGGGCTGTGTCAGTCGACTCCAAGGCTTGCAGTTGCGCTGCCACCTCCCAAGTAACGTCCATGATTGTGGTGTTCACCCCTGCTGCTTTGTCCGCGATCCGCTGCTGCATCGTCAGTGAGGAGGTCCTGTGGGTTTCCTTCGACAGGTCCGACGAGTTGGTAGTGGCTGCATTTGGGTCGTGCATGGTCTCATCCGTGCTCTCCGTCTTTTGGGTAGTATCCTTCGCCTCTGGTGAGCCCCAGGCCCCTTCGCCACCTTCGGGCGTGAGTATGTTGCTGTCCGTGTTGGGGAGGCTCGCATCCAGGTCGACGAAGGGGTCTATGTCCTCGCTGTCCATTTGTGTGACTCGTCTTGGGACGGGTCCGCTGGTCTCGACGTCAGCGATCGCCCCAGTCTGGTTTCTCTTACAACCGTCTGGTCCAAGGGCTTCCCATCTCGCCGTGTCGGTCTCGGCGGCCTCGCCATCGGAGAGGTTGTCAGATTCGTCCAGGACTGGTAGCGCTGCTTTCTTCTTCTTCTTTGCTGCTTTGCTGTTGGGGTTGGCCTTCTTCGGCAACTTGGGGTGGGGAGATGCTTTCGGCATGCGCAATCTTCTGCATTCGTTCACCTGCGCTGCTGCCTTTATTGTAATAACCAGCCCCACATGTGGTTTCCCAGGTACATCGTGAACAGCGTGTATACCTCGAACAAGTCTCTGGCCCCCAGGGTTGACCAGGGCGTAGTCTATGTTCGAGGGGGTCGCGTCACCTAAGAAGGACGTGTTCTGGCCCTCTGGCAATTGGACCACACCCGTTGCGCCCAGTGCCGTCGGCCACCCTGTCTTCTCGAGTGCGTCGAACTCGCAATTAAAGTCGCCGCAGATGATCCACGGCGTGGAGGTGGCATGTAGGAATGCCGCGAGCGAGGTCAACTTCCTGGCGTTTACCCCGTCGACGAGGGAGGCGTTCGGGTCCAAGTAGAGGGAGATGATGAGCAGCGATGTGCCCTTCAAGTGGAGCGTGACTGGCGTCCAGTCGATCATATCCATGTCGCACGGCCCTTGGAGAGTAGTCACACTCGAGGTCGTGTCTGCCCGTGCCTTGTGGCGGAAAGAGGTAGCCTTCAGGTGGCCCTTGGTGATGACAGCTGTGCCACCGTGGGGCCCCTTCAGGCTCTTCTCGTTATGCCTGGCTTCCGTGAAAACTGCTGAGAACCCAGATTTCTGCAGCTCGTATTCCACGTCATTGAGTTGTGCCTGGGCCAAGTGTGTTTCCTGTAGCGCATAGGCATCATAAGATTGCTGAAGCCCGTCGCGTCGGATCCAACTCTTGGCCGTAGGTCCCCACGTTGATATGTTGGCGAAAAAGATCGTGCGGTCCAGGGGCTCGGCGTCGCCAACGGGTCGCCTGCCCCTCCGCGGTGGTCCCTAGTGCTGGCCTGAGCCAGCGCTTGCCCCTCCGCTGCCGCCAGCTGCCTCCCCCGCCTTCCTGCGCTGCTCCAGGAAGGCGCCTGCTCCGTCGACGAGGATGTCGTCGGGCTCGCCTGCAGGTGTGGGTGCTGCTGCTGGTGCTGGGGCCGCTGCTGGAGCTGCCTGCGTCTCCTTCGATGTTTCACCTGAGCCCGCCTTCCGCTTCTTGTAGGCCTGGGTGATCGTGGCGCGCTCCTGCTGTGCTTTGTCTTTCGCCTGCTGCAAGTGGTCTTTCAGCTGGCCCCTGAAGGTTGATGCCGTCTGCCGTAGATGCTCCAGGACTTGCTTCTTCGCTAATTCCACTTGCCGCTTTCCTTCTTCATCCATGTCCTCGTCGTACTGGAAGTGAGCCTCGACCTCGGCGATCTCGATCTCCGATGGCTGGATCATCTCCGTGTCTGCGTTCAGCAGCTGGTCAAAGATGCTCTTCGGCTTCTCCTTGCCCTCCTGCTGGATCATCTCTATTTCCTTCTCCGCGTTCAGGACGTCGTCGGCACTGGCCGTGAGCCACTCTGTTGCCTTCTTCGCCTTCTCGTCCGCCGACTGCTTTGCATCAAACGCCCATTTGTACTTTTTGTTCGCGTCCTCGAGTTTCCTTGCTGCTTCTGCCAACCGTAGTGCTCGGGACTTGGGAACCTGTGCTGGGGAACTCACCGCTGCTTGGAGTGCCGTGGCCACACTCGTAAGCTGCTTGGCGATGCCGTCTTTGTTGTCGCAGTGGAGCGTGGCCAGGGAGCTCGTCATCGTCTGCAAGGCCGTGGCTATCTGCGCGAAGCCCTTTTGGTTGGAGCCCGTGGCGCCGTCAGTACGGTACTGCTTGTCTTTGTCCTTATCCTTGCCCTTGCCCTTGCCCTTGCCAGCGTTGCCGTCGCCCTTCGTCATATCTCCTTTGGGCCTAGCAACTCGGCAGCCGCAGGAGCACCAGTAGTCGCGCGACTCCATCTGCGATATCCACCACCACATATTGCACTGCTTGCACGTCGTCCACTGTGTCGGTGCCATGCTGCCGTGGTGGAGGTTCAGGAGGAGGCGGGCGTTCACCAGCTGGAGATCCTGTCGTGCCTGGCTCCTGCGCCTGCGGAGGCGCCTGTGCCAGGCAGGGGAGCGTGACCTCGTGGGTCTGCTCGGGCTGCGCGCCGTCGGCGCTGGGGGCTCTGCAATGGCACGGGCCGCGGCGGCCGCGGGGCAAAATGCTGCGGCGTCGCGCGGCCCGCTGCGGAGCCACCTAGGAGAAGGTGGAGGAGGAGGAGGAGGAGGAGGAGGAGGAGGAGGAGGAGGAGGAGGAGGGGGAGGACCGCCGACCCACAACCATCCTTGAGCGCAACAGCTCGAAACCCAGGAACGAGCCCCAGAAACCCACCATCACCATCAGTGTCGAGAGTCGTGAATGACACGGGGATCGCGATGCGGGGTAATGTCGTTGCCGCCGTCAGTCGCCTGCTCGTTTGCTCTGATCGCCTGCTAGTTTGTTTTGCTCGCCTGCTCGTTCGCTCTGCTCGCCTGCTCGTTTGTTCGTTTGTGCTGCTCGAATTTGAATATTGTTGCCGCCTGCCCGTTCGCTCTGACGCACTGTCGGTCCGAATGTTGTTTTGCTTGTTTGCGTTTCGCCTGCAACTGGGACCCTCTGGAGGCATCCCAAAGGGAGACGCCGTGCGAGGCGGGGCCCGAGGCCTCTGGGAGCTGAGGGGGCAACCAGAGAGAGCTCAGAGGAGGAGGTGCGGGCGGCTCCTTTTTCAAAACGGGGTTCTCGCTTGAGCTCCACGTCAGGTCCTCTCGAGGCATCCCAGAGGGAGGCGCCGTGCGAGGCGGGGGCCCAGGCCTCTGGCGGCTGATGGGGGCAACCAGAGCAGGCCCAAAGGGGGAGGTTGAGGGCGGCTCCTTTTTCAAAACGGGGCTCCAGGTCCTCTCGAGGTATCCTAGAGGGAGGCGCCGTGCGAGACGGGGGCCCGAGGCCTCTGAGGGCTGACGGGGGCAACCAGAGAAGGCCCAGAGGAGGTGCGGGCGGCTCCTGTTTCAAAGCGGCGACAAAGATGGGGATAGCGCGCACACGCATCTTCTCCTCCCGCGACAGTGGCCCACCAGCAACGTGCGCAGCCGAAGGAGTGCAGCCGCGGCCACCTAGCCACAAGAAGATATTCAGACTGCTTTCAGATGACTCAGGAAGCTCTCACCGAGCTCTCAGAGGGCTCTCAGAGGGATCTCGAGGATTTACCGGAGGCGTTTCAGAGGCCTCTCAAAGGCATCCCTGAGAGCTCTCAAAGGCTTCTCAGAGGGAGATCACTCTGAGGGGCTTCAGAAGCCTCCACGAGGGCCCTAAGAGGCCCCCCAGAGGGCTATCAGAGACCTCTCGGAACACTTCTCAGGGCCCCCAAAGGCTTGCAATGGGAGGTTGCCAGGAGGCCTTTGTCAGAAGCAGCCAGAAGCCCTTCAGAGGCCGTCAACAACCTTATCAGAGGCTGCCAAGACCCCTCTCAGGGGCCGCCAAGAAGCTTCCCAGGGGACGCCAAGAAGCGCCTGAGGGGGCCGCCACACAAACCTCATAGGGGCCGCCAACAACCGTCTCAGGGGCCGCCAAGATTCCTTTTAGGGGCAGCCAGGAAGCGTCTCAGGGGCTGCCAAGAACCCTTTCAGGGGCCGCCAAGGACCCTCTCAGTGGCCGCCGAGAGGCATATCCGGGGCCGCCACGAAACCTCCCATGAGCCGCCAAGAAGCTTCTTAGAGGCATCCAAGAACCCTCTTAGGGGCCGCGAAGACGCCTCTCAGGGGCTGCCAAGAACTATTTTCAGGGGCCGCGGCCTCAGGGGCCGCCAAGAACCGTCCTAGCTGACGCCAAGAACCCTCTCAGGTGCCGCCTTGAAAGCTCTCAGGGGCCGCCCGGAACATCTTCAGGGGCCGCCAAAAACCTTATTCAGAGGCCGCCCCAAACCCTTTTCAGGGGCCGCCCAGCACCCTCTCAGGGATAGCCAAAAATTGTCATCCGCCGCCACGAATCTTCGCAGGGTCCGCCAAGAGGCCTCTCAGGGGTCGCCACGAATCCTCGCAGGGGCCGCCGAAAATTCCCTCAGGGGCCGCCAAGAACCCTCCCAGGGGCCGCCAAGAACCACCTTGGGTGCCGCCAAGAACCCGCCAAACACCCTAACCTCGAACTCTTTCAGGGGCCGCCACGAACTCCTTCAGGGGCCGCCAACAACCCTCTCAGGGGCCGCCAAGATTCCTCCCAGGGGCCGCCACGAAGCCTTTCAGGAACCGCCAAAGACCCTTTCAGGGGCCGCCAAGAACCCTCTCAGGGCCGCCAAGAACTTTCTTGGGTGCCGCCACGAAATTGGGTGCCGCCAGAAACTCTCTCTGGGGCCGCCAAGAACTCTCGCAGGGGCCGCCAATAGCCGTCTCAGGGGCCGCCAAGAACCCTCTCAGGGGCCGCCAAGAACCCTCTCAGGGGCCGCCAAGAACTCTCTCAGTCTCAGGGGCAATCAAAAACCTTTTTGACGGCCGCCAAGAACCCTCTCATAACTTCCGCCGGGGACCGAGTCTTTCAACCGGGAACGAGTCGTTCAACCGGGGAGCGAGTTTTTTGCTTAGGGGGGGAGGGGGCGGGGGGGAAGGGGGGGAGGTGGGGGGGGTCCAGCAGGAAGGGGGGATTTTCGAAGGGGGGACCCCGGGGCCAGATCTGTCGCGTATCAAACTTGGGAGGACCACCGCCTATTGCGTCATGGCGATCTGTGGTCTGAGGAGTCAAGGGTAGGTGGGTCAGGTTAATCGACCAGCGTGATGATCGCGCTGCAGTTGGGCCTTCATTCTTGTCATGCCAGTCCGTCGATGTTCTGTTCGCTGCGGCCTTCTTAATCCTCCGCCCTCCTTACTCCCTCCCTCATGCTCTCCCGTCCTCTTCCGTCCTGCTCACTCACCCATCCCAGTTCCTCGCTTCTACTTCCTCCTCTCCGCCTCCCTCCGCCGTCTTCTGCCTGACTCTTGTCCGGTCCCTCCTCCCACCTGTGTCCTTTCTTCTCTTTCCTCCTTACCCCCCCTCGTTATTGCTTAGCACAGATTCTTTGCCCAGGCTCCAAGCAGGTTCCAAGTCCCTGCGATCTCTGAGTTCCCAGAGTTTCTCTAATTCTGTTTGCCGTACTTACCCGTGCAATGTTATGCGTTGTGTTACACTTTGTTGCGTTAACGTTTTCTCCGCGTTCCATGGTTCCGTTTGGCATTGCCTCGCCATTGCAATGCAAAGCATTGTTTTCGTTGTTTTGTACAGATTTGCAATGCTTTGCCCTACATTGCACTGTTGCGTCTTGAAGTTGAATGGGTGGATCCTTGTCGGTAATACGTCTCTGCTCGCTCCGCGTTTTCATTGCTTCACACACGTGTGATGAAGCCACTTGCGGTTACGTTCATGAATGTTGCCGCGAGCTTGTTGTGAGCCCAGGTTTGCTGGAACCTAAGCGCGCGCGAAGCGCGCGCGAATGTTTCTAGCACATGTGCACAGACATACCCAGCTATACGTAATTGTCCATGCATGTCCGCATATATCATATATATACATGTATATATTCATATATATGTATGCATGTATATGTGTGTAGTTGTATATATATATATGTGTGTGTATATGTATATATATATATATATACTTTTGCACATATACACATACATACAAACAAACAAACATACAAACAAACATACATACATACACACATACATACATACATACATACATACATACATGCATGCATACATACATACATACATACATACATGCATACATACATATATATATATATATATATATATATATATATATCGGAGTAGGGCCCGGGGGCGGCCCGGGGCGCTGCCTGTAATCTCCATGGGGGGTGCAGGGCGCCCCCGGGAGCGTCCGAAGCGTCCTGGAGGGCCCCTGGGACCGCCAGGAACAGTTCGAGACCGCCCAAGACGGCCCGCGAGCGCTCCAAGACGCGCATAGATAGCCTCGGGAATGGCCAGGAAGGCCCGAAGACGTTCCAAGAGAGCTCCATGAGGCCCCGAAGGCATCCCAAGAGGCCTCCCAAGAGAGCGCCGACAAGCCAAAATCGTTGATTTTTATTTTTTTTGTAGGTTTTTGGCCTTCTCGCTTTTTCGGGGTTCCGACGCTCCAAGACCGTCCAAGAGTCTCCCAAAACCGCTCCAAGACGGCCGAAGAGGCCCCCAAGACCGCCCCAAGACGGCCCAAGAGACCCCAAAAATCGTCCCAAGACGGCCCAGAAGAGCCCCAAGATGGCCCAGGAGCCGCCCAAGACGGTTCCAGGAGAGCCCCGACAGGGCTTCAAGACTGCCTGCGCGAGCCCAGCGGGCCCCAAGAAGGCCCCGCGAGGCCCCAAGAGGCCCCAAAGAGGTCCCCAAGAGCCTCCCCGGAGGCCCCCAAGAGGCCCCCAAAATGCACCAAAATGGCCCTGAGCGCGCCCCAAGACGCCTCCAGGAGAGCCCAACAGGCCTCCGAGAGGCCCCCAAGAGGCCCACTGGAGGCCCTCAGGAGGTCGTCCCCATCATGTTCCCCGAAGGCGGTCTGGGAACATGATTCCGCGCCTTGGATGAGTATTCTGCGCCTTCCGAGGCGCCTTGGACGACGTACGTATGTTTCTATAGATTGTCCTTCTCCTGTGTGCACAATCTTACATGTTTTACGTATGTGTTTCTCTCTCTCTCTCTCTATATATATGTATGTATATATTTATATATGTATGTATGTATGTGTGTATGTATGTATGTATGTATGTATGTATGTATGTATGTATGTATGTATGTATGTATGTATGTCTGTATGTATATATATATATATATATGTATATATATATATATATATATATATATATATATATGGGGAGGGGGTCCTGGACCAGGGGGGGGGCCTCATTTTGCCCAGTGGCTGTGGTCACCCCCCCGCCGGAGACGTCAGGACGCTCCCAGGACGCCCTCAGGACAGCCCAAGAGAAGTCCGAAGCGGCCCGGGAGCACTCCAAGACGGTTAAAAAGCTGCCAAAGCGTCCCAGCTGTTTTTTTCTAGTTTTTTGGCCTTTTCGTTTTTTCGGGGTTCCGACGCTCCAAGACCGTCCAAGAGTCTCCCAAAACCGCTCCAAGACGGCCGAAGAGGCCCCCAAGACCGCCCCAAGACGGCCCAAGAGACTCCCAAAATCATCCCAAGACGGTTCCAGGAGAGCTCCAAGATGGCCCATGAGCCGCCCAAGACGGTTCCAGGAGAGCCCCGACAGGGCTTCAAGATTGCCTAACTAAGCGAGCCCAGCGGTCCCCAAGAGGGCCTCGCGAGGCCCCAAGAGGCCCCAACAAGGCCCCCAAGAGCCTCCCCGGAGGCCCCCAGAGGCCCCCAAGATGTCAAAAAATGGCCCTGAGTGCGCCCCAAGACGCCTCCAGGAGAGCCCAACGGGCCTCCCAGAGGCCCCCAAGAGGCCCACTGGAGGCCCTCAGGAGGTCGTCCCCATCATGTTCACCGAAGGCGGTCCGGGAACATGATTCCGCGCCTTGGAAGAGTATTCAGCGCCTTCCGAGGCGCCTTGGACGACGTACGTATGTTTCTATAGATTGTCCTTCTCCTGTGTGCACAATCCTACATGTTTTATGTATGTTTCTCTCTCTCTCTCTATATATATATATATACCCGTCGCCATTTTGGTTCAAGGCCAAATGGCGGACCCTCCAGAACTGCCTTTGCGGGGTGGGCTCCCACCCAGGGACCCTGCTGTTTCCAAGTCCAGGTCCGCCCCTGGCAACTGCTCCAAGTCCAGGTCCGCCCCTGGCATCCATATCAAGAAGACCAGGTCCGCCCCTGGCATCCATATTCGAAGTCCTGGTCAGCCCCAGGCACCCAGTCTGCACCGCGAATGGCGGCTCATCGTGGAGCTGCTGCTGCTGTTCGGTCTGCTGCTCCTCTCCAACCCGCTGGTGCTGAGTCGAGTGAAGGACCTCATCGGCGTGCAGGTGACCGCCAAACAGATGCAATTCATCAACACGACCCCTGGGGGGGGAGTCGCCCGCCCATTCCCGCGCTGCTGCTGACGGAGCCAAGAGGCCCCGCGCTGGCGCCTCCAACGCCTCCACTTCCTCTGAGCTCATCGACCCCATGGACGCAGTCAACGCCGCCATCAAAGCATCGCAGGACCTCCTCACGGCGCAGCTGGATGCGAGGCTGGCCACAAGCAAGCAAGAAGTCATCGCAGAGTTCGTCACGCAGCTCAGAGGACCGCTCGGCGCGGTCGTGGGTCAGCAGCAAAAAAAAAACGAACAGTTCAATGGGCGCATCCAATCGCTCTAGGCTGCCTCGGCCAAACTGGAAGCATATCAACGAGAGCTACGTGCACAGGTCGCTGGGATGCGACAGAAGCTATTCATGCAAGAAGCACAGATCCCCATCAAAGACTACGAGAACCTCATCGAGTGGGACAGGGCGGCAGACACCAGCATCATCGTGGGCACCGCGTCGGAGAACTACACCACGGACCAGCTCAAGCAGAGCATCAAGCCGATCATGGACAAATGTGATCTCAGCGAAGCCGACTGGGAGGTGGTTGGGAAGAGCCCAGCGAGACGCTTCATCATGCAGTTCAGCGGGGACGCCAACGCATCCGCGCGGAAGGTCAGGGCAGTCTACAGCAAGCTCAAGGGGCCCGACGGTGACTGGGTCAACACAGAAGTTCAAGTATCCATGGACAGTCAACAAGGCTCTTCCTGGGCCTGGATCGCTCGGGGAAAACGGCACGAAGGGAGTTCCAGACCAAGCAGCTTGCCCAGTTCTGCAATGCGCAGGATGCCACGAAGCGGCGGCGAAGTGACCGACAGCAGGGCGTCACATATTGCAGCGACAAGCCAGTCCTTTCCATCGTGGTCGGCTCCGCAAAGGACGAGCCCACCCGTCTGCCATTCAATTGTAATGGCTGCCTTCAGCACGGCATCAATCGAGAGGAGATCCGCATGCAGTTCGAACAATTCTTCCAGACCTCGCTCGACGCTCAGAACGCACAGCGGCAGATCTGAACGGACCTGCGCCCCTTGGCGAGGCATAAACGCGCCGAAGCCGATCTCTCTCTCGAGGTGGAGACCGAGAGCGCTGCTGGGCAGGGACCCCCCTCAAGAGGAAGAAAAAGATCGCGCTCATGTTGCAGGTGGTGAACTCTTTGACCGCGCCCGCCTTGCAGGAGGTCCACGTCGCTGATTCGGTCCTCAACCATGAGATCGTCAGCGCAGCGGGCACGCTCCACAGCATGATCGCGATCTACAGCGCCCACAACTTGCAGCTCACTGCGGACCAGGGCCAACCCGCAAGGGGCGCGACTGGTGCCGTACTCAGCAGTGCTGCACAACGACCAGAGTGGACCGCGGCGTTCGCTGTGGATGTCCCCAACTTCATAAACGAGGCCAAGCTTGCGCTGACAGCGCCGCTGGTCAACAGAGGACCCCTTCGCCGTCGAAATCACCGCCCAGAACACCTACTGCCTGGGGAACAAGCTCTGGGTAACATGGTGGAGGTGGATCCCGAGTCGCCGTCGCGCCACAATGAGCAGTCGCAGCAGTGCGCGCGGATTGAGGACATGATTGCCGAGATCCGGCGCCAATGGCCTCCTGGAAGGCAGGCGAGGCTGAGCCACGCCAAGCACGTTCGGCGCTACCTGGACAAGCACATCATCCCCTACGACTGCTCTCTGATGAACATCCTGTCGCTGAACAAAATGCTGAACCTCACGTGCGGGCTCAACATCTCGGCCCCAGGCCAGGATGGGATGCAGTGCGCAGCCTGGAAGCGCATCCCCTCCGCGGAGTCGCTCCTCCTTGAAGTCGCGGTCGAGACGTTGGAGGGCCCTCCTGTACCGTTGGCCTTCAACGACTCGCTCATGACTATCTCTCCGAAGGGTTCGGAACATGATGATGGAATATCAACTACCAGAACTGCTAAGGCCATGAGGCCCCTCCCCCTGAAGAACTCGGACTGCAAGATCGTCGCCGCCTTGGGCATCGAGGTGACGAAGCCTTACGTCGCGAAAGGGACCCTCGGGGCGCACTTGGGCCTCCGACCGAAGCATTGCTTCGTTGAACAGGTGGTTGCTACGGACGCGCAGTCCCGCATTGGCGCCACGCAGGAGAACTTGACGTACGAAGACCTGCTGATGGTCCTATGCGATTTCGGTGACGCGTTCCCCCCGACGTGCAGAACAAGCCTCAACATGGCATAGGAGAAGGCTGACTTCCCCGAGGGCATCTGCAACATGATGGAGGCGAACTACCTCCTGCCCGTCGCCTTCACCCTCCCTGCGGACAACACTGAGCGCTTCCGTGCCCTCGCCGTGGGCGGGCTGTTGGGGTGCCCTTGGTCGGGCTCTCTGTGGGCGGG